CTTTAAGCAGCACTGTACCTCGCAACTTATACATCTCTCCGTTAGCTGAGTAAACCACCAACATGTGTGGCACTTCATCACTGGGCGATATTATAGCTCCAGCTAAAGACAAGGTTCCTCGTGGCTTCTGGTTTTTACTTTGTTCATTCACAAAATACTGCAGAATCCCCGTCTCAAAGTCCAGCACAAAGTACCTGTTCAAAGAAGCAGCACTGTACCTCGCAACTTATACATCTCTCCGTTAGCTGAGTAAACCACCAACATGTGTGGCACTTCATCACTGGGCGATATTATAGCTCCAGCTAAAGACAAGGTTCCTCGTGGCTTCTGGTTTTTACTTTGTTCATTCACAAAATACTGCAGAATCCCCGTCTCAAAGTCCAGCACAAAGTACCTGTTCAAAGAAATTGCAATCATATAACATTTCTGTTAAAGAATTTTCCAACATTTACTCAAAGAGCACAGGCTGATCTTAAATCAAGGTCATAAACTAAATCAATTTTATAAAGTATTGTTATTTTGATCATTAGGTTTGTTTTTTTAAGGGCAGGTGTGAGCTATTCTTTTACTCATATTTCTTTTGGATTAGTGGTCAGGTTCACATAAAAGACATAAAAGCAAGGAAAGGAGTTTTTAACTGAAGAGGTTCCACTGTAAAAGTATGAGACTGCTTCTTTGGGGGGTTTTTGGCCTCTCCCCCCTCCCTTTTTTTTTTTTTTTCAATTTATAACCTTGAAAGACATGCTAATTCCCCACAACTAGTCTTTTGAAAAGGTGACTGTTTTTACAGACAGATGAGCACAGTTAAAGATACCATGGTATTTTCATGTTTGTGACAGTATTTCACATACAGATGTTTAGTGTCGTTGTGAAAACCGGACAAGGGAAGTGAACATTCAGTTCCCAGTAAGTACTAGGTAAGAAGTACGGACACCCACGTGTAAGAAAGCAATCAGGAGGAGAGAGAAGTAAAGTCTAAATTCCATTTGGTCACTCTGCTAACAAATTCTAACAAGGAAAAAACATTTTTACTGCTGATCATATATTTAAGATCAGGAAACACTCAGTGAAAATCCAGTAACCACAAAGATTTTTTAAAAGGCTTTGATGAACCCAAGCCATTTCACAATAAGCCAACTGCTAGGACTGCAAGATCACACAAACAAAAATAAACTAACTGCATTGTCCAAGTGCACTAAATGAAAGTGAAGATGTTCTGAACTTAATGTATCAGTCTCAAGAGCTGGAAACATAAATTTTGGGGGTTGGTTTATTTTTTCAACTAAACCTATCTTTCACAACAGCACAGATCTTAAATTTCATTTCCCTGTGGAAATAATCTCTGCTAGTAAACAGAACAATTATTTATCTCTTTGCCAGGAAAGGATGGACAGCAACCTCCCAGCTCACATGAAGGACAGTTTGCTACAACTTGCAACAGACTAGAATGAACATCACACAAATGCAAGGTCACTCCCTTAGTTTCTACTAAAAAGGCAGTCCTACCAATCTGGCTAATACCACTAACATTGGCATTTGGAATGGATACTACTTGCTGCTGTTTGTCTAGACAGGATGAGCATAGGTCATATGAATTTGTGTACAATATTTCAGAAACTGTGATTAATCAGACTTCCATGGATTTGTACACCCCAAATTTGCTTGTCACTACTTTGTTTTGAAAGTGGCATTTTGTCCCAGCCTTTTTTCAATATCCCCATATGCAGAACACCTCTAACCTTTCCCATCACAGATTTCCAGGGTTGTCTTCACAGCCTGTTGATTATTGGTGTTCTCGTGCTCACCTCTTTATTCAAGCTAAATAAGCCTGGACATGATACAAGCAATCACTGCGTAAGATTTATATAGCTTCAGATATTTCGCTTGGGTAACCTTCCTTTGCAACATTTATGCATAGCTCTACCACGGCCTCCGCACCACAACAAAGACCAAATTCTCTCTAAATTATCACAGATTAACAACCCTCATCCCAAATAATTTTAAGCTAGTGCACCACTACACCCCTTGCTTCTGCCCTGATTTCATCTCCTACATCTCCCATAAGCGCCTCTGCATCCCTTCCCTCACAAAACAAATGGAAAGCCTCCCTTTTGTAATCATGAAGCCTATCTCTTCACCCTTCTTCTACAGTTTATCTTCACCACAAAAAAGAGGACTACAGAAATAGCAAGCTGAATGCCAACCACCACAACGTTTTTAACAGTAGTGTTAGAAATAAGGAGGCCCTAAACAGAATTGCCAAATTTTCACAAGATTACCTTACTGACTTGTATTACACCAGTCCAGAACGTTCCTGTGTTGTTTGTCTTTTAAATTTTTTTATATTACTGCTCTCCTGCTTACAAAGCATTTTTTCTATTCAGGTTGCTTAGTAGGGAAAAAAAAAAAATGAAAACAGCAGAATTGGAAAACATACAATAAAAAAAAAAAAGTCAAACTTGTACATTTCATAGTAAATTTTAATTTTGCTCATTCTCAGACTTCCTCATCAATTTTAGGAATATCTGTTACATATTCAAGAGAAAAAAGACACTAGACAGAAATGATGCCATGCCCCTGAGAAAGTGATATAGTAGCTTGACCAGAGAGCTAGTGCTTCTCTCCATCCCACTGACAAGCTTTCAGCAGTATCTTTGGGTTTAGCAAACAAGTCTAGGCTTTATATATAGCAATGGCCATTCTGAGCCTGTGCCATCCTCATTATAATTTCATTGTCCATTTAGTGTTCAGGTACAAATCATTTATTTCAGCCTCTGTTATCAGGCCATCTTTTATCGATTACTACCTTGGAAGGCATTATTGTGGTTACTGAAGTACAGCTCTACAATTAACAAAAGCAGGAAAACATCTTTTTTTAAAAAGGCAAGAAAAATCATCTTTCCTTCTCCTATCAAGACCAAAGGATTCGGGGAAAAAAGTTCCTCTTAATAGGATACAATCTATTAAATTACATGAACACTACGAGCACTTCAACTCAGAAACTTCTGCGTGCTAGACCAGCAAAGCACTCCCAGAATGACTGTAAGACCCATAAAGATGTGCTCTGCATCACCCTAAAGCTGCCCTAGGGACAGAAACCAGCCATTTGAGTACAGAATACACCTTTCACCAGCATAATGACATTCAAGAGCAGTGACTTCTGCAAATCCACATATGCAGAGACAGTATTCTTCCACATCCTTGTCATCACAGCAGTGGTGTTAACTTGACCTTCTTGACCTTCTAGCCAACCATGACCTATTTTATGTACAGTCTCAGAAAAACAGAAGGTTATCATTGGTCTTGTACCTTCAGTTTTCAGTACGTGTGATGATGCCTTAGTTGCCTGTAAAAGCATGCAACCTGTTTCCAGTGCAACTCAAAAGCAGTGATCTTAAGAAAGACAAAAGTAACCAGTTCTCACAAGCCTTTGCATTGCCTGCTTCAAGTATGCTGCCTTCTTTGTTGTCCCAGATGAATCAGTTTCTATGTCTGCCAACTTTGAAAGTTTTAAGAGAAAAGGGAATTATCTACAGAAAAGTCCCAACTGCCCAACAAAAGCTGATCATGTCAACAAAATAGCTTTACTGTGACTTCAGAGAGCTCGGGAACTTTTCAGAGTCATCCTGACCATATCACTCAGAACCAAGTATTTGCTTTTCAAGAGAACTTTTCAGAGTCATCCTGACCATGACACTATTCGTATCACTCAGAACCAAGTATTTGCTTTTCAAGGGTTATGGTTTGATGCACAACTCCCCTCCTCACCTTTCACTGCGGTACTACAGAAAGAGGCAAGACAGGAGGAAATTGCACAGACAGCTATAGTCTCGCAAGAAAAGCAGGGGGATAATGCACTTTGAAAACTGCTAAAAGGACAGGAAAAGCCAGGAGAAGGAATAAGGAATTAAATGTCAAACCAAGCAGCACAAGACTTCATACAAAGGAGGGGTGGGGAGGAGAAAGAGGAGCAGAAAGAGACAGAAGAAATAGAAGCAATTTTCAAAAGCATTTTCTTGCATCACAGACCAAGTGATGACCCAGTTCAGACAATCACAAAAACGAAGAAGAAATGGAGATCAGACTCTTTCATTAACTGAGGAAGGAAATGCTTTACACATATATAAAGCAGAACAGAAGTAAGGGAATGGTATGTGTCCCATTTTAGAGGCCCCACGTATCTGTACCAAAAGCACAGGGTTATCTTTTAACTGTTACCTTCTAACAAAAGTCATTTGTTCTGCACACCAGGGAAATAAGAGCACTAACCTCTCTAGAACTGATCAATCTTGCCATCTTATTCTGTATTTCTCTAGTGGCCTTGTTCAGAGCACACATTGGCTCGTGATGTCATATTTCTGTAATTCATTTACAGATTTACACTGATGAAAACTAATATACTCTTTAGAGAACAGTCAGGTAGGAGTTGTCATACTAGACACACAATTACTACTATACAGAAATTATTAAATAACTGTTACTGACAGACACTTCCAAAAGACAGCTAAATTTTTCTGTTATTCCAAAATTAGACAAAATCATTGTTTTGTTTTTTTGGATTTTTAAAATTAATATTAATTAAAAGAGGCCATCTAACAGTAAGCTAGAAAATTACCACTTTAACACATTTTAAGTGGTTTTAACTGCTTAAGCACGTAGACATGTAAAATTACAGGCAAGAAAAAGCAGGGCATTTCACAAAAGAAAAGCCCTGGCCAAGAGATTTCTCACTTTAAATTCAAAGCCGTTCAGAGAATACAGGTTTTCTGCTCCTCTGGCTCAGCCTTCCTCAAGCTCTTGGGATTCACCAGGACACTCCTCTCTGCCATTACAACCAAATGCAGATGCATTACCAACTGCCATCAGTTACAAAGCAAAACATTCAGCTACACTCATCAAACTAGGTTTTTACTGCTGTTCTATCAAGTTAGGAAAAAAAACACAAAACAAAACAGTCTGATGCTACCAGATTTTTTAAGGTACTCATGAGTTTGTCAATATGGTCTGATGACTCTTTATTTCCATACTTCAAAATCAGTGTGCTCTCAGAATAAATCCCAAGTCTTAAAAATTCTGTAACTATTTGTCTTAATTAAACACTCACCATGTTTCACTCCTCTCCCCTTTACCCACTCACCTCCACAGCCCTTAAAAAAAAAAAAGTATGACATTAGGAAGCCTAACTATGTTGCCTTCCGAATTCTTGGAGGGGAAGAGAGACTCATATCAATGAACTATTGGCAAGAGTACAGAGACACTGTACCAATAAACTATTTCAACTGGATTTTACATTCACTGATATGAGCATTTATTATAGTAATAATTATAATATATTAGAATAATTTGTTATTGTTCCCCATTCAAGAAGAATTTAAGAAATAGCAATGACTATGG